AGGGTTTAGTGGGTATTTCCCCTGGGCCTTGCCCTATTGGGGATGAGTCCCACACTACCCCCGCCCCACTCCTCCCACATTGGAGGATGGCGGGGGTGTGCGTAAATGCATTCCCTCACGTAAAAAAAGAAAAAAAAAAAATGGTAGGCGGCCCCCATCCCTGTGGACCGGGGAACAGAATACGGTCATGGTATTCCCTGCCTGTCGTAAGAGGCGACTAAAAGGGACCGTTGGGATCGCGGGACTGTGGCACCCGCGGTCCGGTGGAGGGGGGAGCTCTCCGCTTCCCCCACCACAGAGAGGGCGCTCTGCCGTTTATGGCGGAGCGGGCGCTGGCGAGGTACCGGTTGTGTTCGCAAGAGATCCCGGTGTCTCCCCGTATAGCGCCGAGCCCGGCCACCGTGAGTGGTGTAGTGGGTATTTCCCCTGGGCACATAGTCCTATTGGGGAAGAGTCCCACACTACCCCCGCCCACTCCTCCCACCAGGAGGAGGGCGGGGGTGTGCGTAAACAGCATTCCCTCACGTAAAAAAAAAAAAAAAAATGGTAGGCGGCGCTTCTCCTATGTCACTTTTTCCCTTAGCGGAAGCCGAGTTTACTCGTCGGTGTACAAGAAATACCGAAGACTGAGTGCAACAGTAATTGTGTTACGTCCCGCGTTGCGGGTGTTACTCTACTTATAATATCGGGTCCTGGCTCTTTTAAGGTGCTAAAGCACACCCTGTCTAAACTTACCGGTGAAGTACGCGGTTTGGATATGGAACGGAAGGAATAGGAAATCACTCTCGTTTATAGTAATAATAAAGATATATTCTAACAATTAAATCAAATAAAAGATACAAATAAGTCTTAGATATTTAAGGGACGTGGGATGTTCTCTTTTGAACTCTTCAAACCAGTCGTGGGTAAAGTGACTATCCATAACGATGTCATTGGTGATATTCCACCAAACGTCTGCCGCTTTATAATTAAGCGTACTCCACATTTGACCGATCGCCCTCGTAGCTGTAAAGTGAGGGTCAAACTCAGCCTGAAATCGCTCGGGATATATAAACGAAGCGATAAGGGAATCCTGATCTCTAATTGGAAATCCCATTGCATTGAAGAATCCAAGGAACTGTATATTAGCACGTTGTGTGGTCACCGCACTTTTGGCTTCATTTAACACTCCGCCGAACACCTCTCTTGCTACACGAGACAACGAATCAAAATCCACACCATTGCGCACAAATAGTAGTCCATCGTCGCCCATATAGATATCGAAGAGAGATGGCGAACTACTCGTGTCATACACACAATATCTCGTCATTATTGCGTTAATGACAGTATCCAAGATATTAGTTCACGTCGAACCAGAGAGTATACCCCCCAGCTGCTGGTACCTCTCACCACTCGGAAGAAGAAAAGGCGTCTCAATGAAATACTTCACCATTCATCTCCATCTACGAATGCTCTTAACTGGATCGACTCTCCACACCAATCCTTCACTGTCCTTTACTTTACCGAAGTCAAAGCATCGCGCAAGAATAGAGAATGCATCCCTAATTAACCAGGGCGGAACGTGTTTATCAAATCGTTTCCAGTCCATCATGAGACACTTGATTCCGTGTGGTGCTCTCATCCACGCCTCATTGATGTAACCCATTTTTCCGGTAGCCATCTCAACACCATATGCAACAGGTACGTCACGAGTTGTATGTCTAATCCACTCAAGATATGGATAGACGTAACGACCTTCCTCGATAATCAAACTAAACGGGTAACCCCAAGTACCTCTAATTTTATTAGCGTCGATATCACATATCTGCGCTCTAAAATATACTAATGTATCAGGTAAGCGAGTGCGATATCCTTTGCCAATAAGAGACCACTCCTTGTGTATTTGACACATAGCAGTCTGATCTTCGAAAACATCACGTTTAGTTCTATATCGAGTTTTATCCTCATCATCCCGCGTGAATTTCCACGGTAGACCTGGAGATTTATCTTTAGGCACTGAGTCTTTCTCAACCTTCCCCATCGTCCATAGAATAATCGATGATTCAGGCACAAAATCCCTTCGAACGAATTCTAATACTGCATGGTATTTTGGATTTTGACAGCGTCGCAAATGGATCACGTTATATTCGAGAATATCATTCTTGGAGGCATCTAAAGAGACTTTAGCTCTGTGCCACTTCTCGCGAATCCCATACACCAATCTTGCCCCAAAATACTTTACCGCATAGCGAACAGCTTTCGGATCAGGCCTTGATGGTCTGAAATCAAGGGGAAACCCCTTTGTTTTCTCGATGAAACGTAGAGCGTACATCCGTACTTGAACCTTGTAAATGTGCAATGAAAAGAGATTCTGAGAATACAGGATATAACAATTGTATCGCGAAAATTCATAGAATATATTTTCACTCGGCGGGGGGGGAATATGTAGGGGCTCGTTGCCAACCTCACTCCGACCGACGGAGTGGGGAATAGCGGCAGTTGGCAGCGTTGCAACGCGACAGTAGCGACAGTGGCGGGAGTTCCCCCATTCGAGTTCCGAGAGTCGCTTTGAACAGTAGCGTGTGCTACGTAAACCGATGTGATACGCAGTGCGTATTACGCACGTGTGTGAAATATAAAGTAAACCTTCAAATTAAGAACACGGCAGAAGTGGGACTGCCCTGGGGTCGAGTGACCCCCAGCCATCCTACAGCGATATCGTCACTCAGGCCATCTATAGGATGCCTCGCATGATTAACACGCCGTCCTTTTCTAATTGACGCGTGCGTTGTGCGACAAGCGTCTATCCTTGTCGCACTCACCGGCTGTTGTCGAGGTGCCTACGTGACTTCTAACATAGCAACTGACCCGGATTACCGTTAATCGAAGGTTAATCCTATTATTCGCACGTCAACTGCCTAGCATTACTGTGCTCTTTACGACGCATTTTCTTTGCTGGTTCGGCTGAATCACTGGGCTACTCCGAATTATACGCTCAGCGCTGTAATCTAAGAAACGCCGCCTAATTGTTTACTCGTCTATTGTTCGCGTATTGTTTATTTGAATTGTAATAAGGATATTTTGTGCCGTATTAAACTTAAAGTGCAAGTCAACAAAGAGTGAAACATTTACACGTTTTATTCCACCTACTCTCTGTACATTTTGGTCCTTCGAGCCGGATAATTTCGCGACCAGGCGGTTTTTTTACAAATTATTCGGTCAA